GGCCTGAACTCTGGGCCTGGGCGCTGTCCCTCAGCTCTTCAGCTCAAGGCTAGCGCTCTACCACTTGAGCCACAGCGCCACTTCTGGCCTTTTCTCCTTATGTGGTGCTGAGGAATCAAACCCAGGGCCTCATGCATGCAAGGCAAGGACTCTACCACTGAGCCACCTTCCCAGCCCTTGTTTCAGATCTTAAGAGTAGAAGCTTTCAGTTTTGCCTCATTCATTATAATGATACTTGTTGGCTCATTATAAGGGACCTTCACTATGATTATTTTTGTGCCAGTACTGGGGCTTAAATTCAAGGCCTCACATTCTTGCTTGGCCTCACATTCTTCCTCTGTCACTTAGAGCCAAACCTCCACCTCCACTTCCCCTTTGTCATGTTGAGGTGGTGAAATTCAAGTATCCTTTGATGAGCTCACATCCACCTTTTTTTTTTCTTTTTTGTCCATCTTGGGGCTCGAAATCAGGGCCTGGGCGCTTTCCCTGAGCTCTTTTGCACAAAGCTAGTGCTCTACCACTTTGAGCCACAGCTCTACTTCCAGTTTTCTGGTGGTTAATTGGAGATAAGAGTCTCATGGATTTTCTGCTCAGGCTGGCTTTGAACTATGATTCTCAGATCTCAGCCTTCTGAGTAGCTAGGATTACAGGTGTAAGCCACCAGCTCCTGGCACATATAGTTAGTTATTAAACTTTAAAAGAACTATCACTTTATTAATGCTATACTTTTACAAACTTTTTAACTCTTGAAATTGTTTCTGATAAGTTAACTGGAACATAAATTGTTTTGAAGTTTCTTGCCTGTAGGATTAAGTCAGTGATAAATTAAACAACCATAAAGGGTCATTCTTTGGTAGTTTTCTGTAGATAGTTGTATTCTAAAGAGTATTTTGTGTTGTACTTTCTTTTAGTGACCGTGGCGGAGAAGACCCAAACCAGAAAGTAATCCATGGGGTTATTAACTCCTTTGTTCATGTTGAACAGTATAAGAAAAAATTTCCCTTAAAGGTAAAAAGCCTTCTTCCTTTAAAAACCACAAAAAAAACCCCAGACTTTTACTTTCTTAAACTGCTTGTCTATTTTTGTCCTAACAATTTTGATTGATTTATTCAGTTTTATCAGGAAATCTTTGAGTCTCCCTTTCTGATTGAAACAGGAGAGTATTATAAACAAGAAGCTTCAAATTTGTTACAAGAATCAAATTGCTCACAGTATATGGAAAAGGTAAGACATCAAACATTGTCATATATTCATCTATTATGTCTAGCAAGATTATCTTTAACAAATTTGTCTTAGTTAATTTTGAGAGTATTTTTGGTAGAAAGGGTTCTGTTTATTTGCTTTTTAGCTCTGAGATAAAGTTAACATACATTGATTGATAAATCTATTGATACATCATTGCTATATACTTTTTGAGAAGACATATAATCTGGCTTACTTGTCCCTAAAGTTAAGTAGCATATGTGCATATGCTTGACAAAATAATAACTGGATTTTGTATTTAGCGATTTGCTTAGGAAATAAGGTAAGTATAGAAGCTATGTGTTTGGATTTTTGTCTTATTTTATTTTTTTTGTCGGTCATGGGGTTTGAACTCTGGGCCTGGGCGCTGTCCCTCAGCTCTTCAGCTCAACACCACTTGAGCTACAGCGCCACTTGGATTTTTGTCTTTAAAGCAGAAGGAGCCACAAGTGGTAGAGTTCTGGCCTTGAGCAAAAAAAGCTCAGGGACAGTGCCCAGGTCCTGAGTTTAAGCCCCAGGACTGGCAAAAAAATAAATAAAAATAGAAGTAGAAGGAGCCAGTGCTGGTGGCTCACACCTATAATCCCAGGCACTCAGAAGGATGGTGGTTTGAATCTAGCCTCAGTAGAAAAGTCCCCATAAGACTCTTATTTCCAATTAACCACTCAAAAACTGGAGCTAGAGCTGTGGCTCAAAGTGGCAAAGTGCTAGCCTTGAGCAAAAGAGCTCAGGGACAGCACCCAGGCCCTGAGTTCAAGCCCCACAACTGCCAAAAAAAAGTAGAAGGAAAAATGAGAGGGTAAATAAGATAATTCTAGATACTCAGATAAACCAACCTTGTATCTTCTAAGGTTTTGGAAAGCTGAGTAATACTTAAACTGAAACTTTAATTTTGATCACTATACTTTATAGTGATCACTATACTTTGTAGAGTGTATGGGTTTTTCTTAGTAAAAATTATGTCATATGTTTTCTTTTTCTTTTATTTTTATTTTTTTGGTCAGTCATGGGTTTGAACTCTGAGTCTGGGTGCTGTCCCTCAGCTCTTCAGCTCAAGGTTAGCACTCTATCACTTGAGCTACAGTGCCACTTCTGGTTTTCTGGTAGTTTATTGGAGATAATTGTTTCACAGCTTTTCCTGCCTGGGCTGGCTTTGAATTGTGATCCTCAGATCTCAGCCTCCTGAGTAGCTAGGATTACAGGTGTGAGCCACTGGCACCCAGCTTTCTCTTCTTTTCTTTTCTTCTCTTCTCTTTTCTTTCCTTTTCCTTCTTTTCTTTTTCTTTTTTTTTTGTGCTGGTCCTGGGGCCACAGCTCCATTTCCAGCGTTTTGGGGTTTAATTGGAGGTAAGAGTCTCTTGAACTTTCTACTGGAGCTGGCTTCAAACTGTGATCCTCAGATCTCAGCCTTCTGAATAGCTAGGATTACAGTTGTGAGCCACTGGAACCTGCACATCAGATTTTTTAAATAGGCTTTTCATCCAAGTGTTAAGGGTTCAAACATTTTATTATCAGATGCTTTGTTAGTTAATTTAATCAAGAAGATATGATAAGGGCTGGGAAGTTGGCTCAGTGGTAGAGCACTTGCCTTGCATGCATGAGGCCCTGGGTTTGATTCCTCAGCACCACCTAAGCAAAAAGAAAAAAGCCCGGAAGTGGTGCTGTGGCTCAAGTGGTAGAGCGCTAGCCTTGAGCTGAAGAGCTGAGGGACGGTGCCCAAGCCCAGAGTTCAGGCCCCACAACCAGACCCCTCCCCCCAAAAAAACCAAAACAAACAAAGAGGATATGATAATATTGTAAATGGGCTAGCTGTCCTATAGTTCCCATAGAACATAGGTCAGGAATCCTCAATGCTTCCCAGGTGCTGGTGCTTAGTCCTCAAAGTCCATTTTCAGAAATCCATTTCCTGCCTTATCACCCCATAGCTCTGGATGGTGTCAAATCATCTGGAACCTTTTCCCTATCCATTAAGTACAGCCTATACTAAGTCATTGGTTCTTAGCACTTAGGTTTCATTTAATTTTCAGACCATATTAAAGTTTCTAGATCTAATCCTAAAGTTTACATACAGATTGTCCATGGTACATACAGAGCTTGTATGTATATCAGTGACCAAAAAGATTGTTGGCAAATGGTAGAAGCACTCTAGATGTTTTAGCTCAGTGTAGAATAGTGAACCTGCTTTATTCATTGATTTATTACATGCCAAATATAGTAAAATAAAGTAGTAATAATAAATAAATTTTGAAAACAAAAATTCCCATGCTTCCATGGCCCAGTTGGTGCAGAGAAACTCTATCCTAAGTTATCGTCAGTTATGTTTGAATCATTATTGATTTCTTCAGTGTTACCCTGCCCTTCATTTTGTGAAAACCTGCCCCCTAGGAAGCAAATGGTACCCAAAAAGCACATGAAAGTTATCACAATCCTCTCAAGCCAAAAGGAGTACATAGTATGCTTAATTAGAAATAATAAAGTGAAAATTTAAGACTTATTGAAAAGGAGTATGTCTTTTGTTGAAGTGGGGTATGGGACTAATGAGTCAAGCATCCATTGGTGATAAAGAGCATGAAATAAGGCCTAGTCTTTTTTGATGAGCAATATTAATTGGAACAGCTGCAATTTTTTTTTTCTTGGTCGGTCATGGGGCTTGAACTCTGGGCCTGGACGCTGTCCCTCGGCTCTTTAGCTCAAGGCTAGCGCTCTATTGCTTCAGCTACAGCACCACTTCCGGCTTTTTATATTTATGTGGTGCTGAGGAATGGAACTCAGGGTCTCATGCATGCAAGGCAAGCACTGTACCACCAAGCCACCTTCCCAGCCCCCCCTTTTTTTTTTACAATAATGAAGCCTACTCCATGTTAGTTCAAGTTATGGATACAGAGATGCCCAGTACATACAGTTTAGATAAATTTGGGTAATATAAAGTCCTGAATTCTGCATCTTGAGCATTTGTGGGTTTTTTTCTCAGTGGTAGTATCCTTGGGACTATATACCCACTGATAGCAAGGGCCTACTCTATATATAAAGGTGCATGATAACAGCATGGATGAACCTTAAAAATGTTCATTGAAAATAGCCATACTAAAAACAAACATTCCATGATTCCACTTACATGAACTATTAGGCAAATTCATAGAGGCAGAAGATGGGCTAGAGATTTTCATGGGGAGAGAGTGTGGGTTAGAGTTTCTGTTTGGCATGAGGCGGAAAAGTTTTTAAAATATAAGGGATGGAGGCAAACACTGAACGTAGTTAATGCCAATGAATTTCACACTGAAAGGTATTTAAGGAACCCTAGAAATTTTTAATTTGCCACCGTAAGTGTATACCTTTCAATGTGAAATTCCACTTAAGGTGGCAAATTAAAAATTTCTAGGGTTCCTTAATTGTTTTGAGATGAAGTCTTTTGTAGCCCAGGCTGACCTTGAACTCAAAACCTGAGAGCTGAAATTACAGACCTGTGCAATATATATATATTTATAGTGTGATTTTTACATTATTAATAGTGTAACATCATAAGCATTGAATTATGTACTTTAAATTGGTAAATGTGTACAAGCTGTGTTAAGCTGCTAACAAAGGCAATGGCCATTGAACTAAATTATATTCAGGAAGTCTTTTTTTTAAAACAGAAACAGTGGTGAACCATGTATACTTCATGTTAGGAACTTAGAATTCTTAGTATTAAGATAGCCTTCCTACTTTCCTTTTTGTTTCTCTTCTTGAGTTTTGGGCTTCCCTGCCACCTGCCAATGGTTTTATAGGTATTTCAAGACTGGCGTTAAGGCAGTCCAGCATTACCTATCATTTTCATGGCTGTGTACTTCCTTACCTAAATGATTATTGTGCTTTTCCTTCTGTCATTTTCCTTCACCTACTGTAACATATACTAATTCCTATTGCATTTAGTCAAAATATGTACTTATAATATGCTCTGTATGGGACTGGGAAGGTGGCTCAGTGGTAGGGCGTTTGCCTTGCATGCCTTAGGCCCTGGGTTCGATTCTTCAGCACCACATAAGCAAAAAGAAAAAAGCCGGAAGTGGCGCTGTGGCTCAGGTGGTAGAGCGCTAGCCTTGAGCTCAAAAGCTGAGGGATAATTCCCAGGCCCAGAGTTCAGGCCCCACGACCGGACCCCCACCCCCCACCCCCCAAAAAAATATATGCTCTGTATGATTGTTAAACTTCTGTTAAGGGCCATTTTAATTTTTCAGATGAAACATGGTGAATATCTAGACATTTCATTTCTATGACTTCCTTCAACAGCGAGCATTCCTTGTAGGGTAACAAGACGGCACAGAAAAGACAGGAAAGTGTTCTCTTCCTCAGGCTCCTTTTCCTTAGGACACTTCAAAACATGATGACCCCCTCAAAACATCACAGTTTCCTGGCCCAACAAGCAGTAGTGTCCAAAGGGTCACATGAACATTGTTTCTAGGGACCAATTTTAACAGAGGTCTTGATTGGTATGTGTGATTGAATATACTTCAACTTTAAAAAAACTTTTAAACTCAAATCTTTAGTATGATAGTTAAGTATAATGCATTTACTGTTTTTATTCCCTTTTTACAAGAAGAGAAATCAAGGTAAAATAGACATGTTAATTTTGTTAATATAATCAACTTGATGTAAGTTTTCTGGTTTTTCATAAACTTCACTGGCTTTTCTGGTTGCATGGTAGGTTGTCTGATATAATAGGGGATTAACACTGGCAAATGAAGGCAGTTCTTATTTATAAAATTGGTTGATAGCTAGTAGCTTAAGTTTATAAAAAAGCGAATAAGGGCTGGGAAGGTGGCTCAGTGGTAGAGTGCTTGCCTTGCCTGCCTGAGGCCCTGGGTTTGATTCCTCAGCACCACATAAGCAAAAAGAAAAAAGCCACAAGTGGCACTGTGGCTCAAGTGGTAGAGCGCAAGCCTTGAGCTGAAGAGCTGAGGGACAGCGCCCAGCCCAGAGTTCAGGCCCCATGACCGGACCCCCCCAAAAAAAAGTGAATAATTTATAGATTGTCAGTTTAACAAGGTTCTGTAATTTGTTACCTTTGCTGTATTTTAATAGGCATTAAAATTTGGCTACTTGGTGTACTTACTGATTTTACACTTTTCCTCTCAGAAAAACTTAGTAGTTCATGAAAGTAAGAATGTATTTCTTTAGGTTCTAGGTAGATTAAAAGATGAAGAAATTCGATGTCGAAAATACTTAAATCCAAGTTCATATACTAAGGTGATCCATGAATGTCAACAACGAATGGTAGCAGACCACTTACAGTTCTTACATGCGGAGTGTCATAATATCATTCGGCAAGAGAAAAAAAATGGTAAGTGATGCTAACATAAGTGTGACTCTAGTGTATTTTAAGAGATTATTCTGAATAAACATTTTCAAAGATGTGTTCTGATGGCACTTGAGCCACAGCACCACTTCTGGCTTTTTTCTTTTTGCTTATGTGGTGCTGAGGAATTGAACGAACCCAGGGCCTCAGGCATGCAAGGCAAGCACTCTACACTGAGCCACCTTCCCAGCCCCTGTCTATGAGATTCTTATCTCAAATAAACCCCCAGAAAACTGGAAGTGGCACTGTGACTCAAGTGGTAGAGCGCTAGCCTTGAGATGAAATGCTCAGGGACAGTGCCCAGGCCCAGAATTGAAGCCCCACAGTGGACAAAAAATAGAAGAAAAAAGGTTCTTGAGGGCAACATTGTTAGTGATTTTTTTGGGGGGGGGGTCCCGGTTGTGGGGCCTGAAGTCTGGACCTGGGCGCTGTCCCTCAGCTCTTCAGCTCAAGGCTAGTGCTCTACCACTTGAGCCACAGTGCCACTTCTGGCTTTTTTCTTTTTGCTTATGTGGTGCTGAGGAATTGAACCCAGGGCCTCAGGCATGCAAGGCAAGCCCTCTACCACTGACCCACCTTCCCAGCCCATTGTTAGTGATTTATAGACTTAGCCTAGGGCAGTTTTAATTTGCCCCAGCTTGTATCTTGTTCTTTTCAGACCAAGTTCAATGAAGATGAAGAGATGCTGGTACAAGAACAGGCAGATAGGCCAGTGAAATAAAATAGAGTCTAGAAGTGGCCTGTACATGTGTAACACTTGTTTTGTTTTGTTTTTTTTTGGGTCCGTTCGTGGGGCCTGAACTCTGAGCTTGGACGCTGTCCCTCAGCTCTTCAGCTCAAGGCTAGCGTTCTACCACCTGAGCCACAGTGCCACTTCGGCTTTTTTCTTTTTGCTTATGTTTGCTGAGGAATCGAACCTAGGGCCTCATGCATGCAAGGCAAGCGCTCTACCACTGAGCCACCTTCCCAGCCCATGTGTAGCACTTGTTAAAGACCAGAGTGGCCCTGTGGGGCAGTGTATGTAAGTCTTCGAACACAGTTCTGAGTCCATTTGGGGAAAAAAAAAGAGAGAAGACATTCAGTCTTCATCTTAGATACCATATCTGTCTGTCTTGTCTGTGATACTGAGGCCTGAACTCATGTCCTTAGCTTGCTTTCTAGGCAAGTGCTTTACCATTTAATAAATGCAATTCATCACCAATAATGTGGGTCTTGTGACCTAAATGTAAAGGTAAAATATTAACATTGAGGAAAGTTTCTTCCTAATCTTAAAGTAGGGGAAGATATTTTAAGTATAGTACAGAAAATACCACTGGACCAGATTGGTCCAATGTTCTACGTTAAAATGAAAAATGTGTGGCTTTTTTTGTTTTTCTTTTGGTTGGTTGTGGGGCCTGAACTCTGGGTCTGGGTGCTCTACCTCAGCTCTTCAGCTCAAGGCTAGCGCTCCACCACTTGAGCCAGAGTGCCACTTCTGGTTTTCTGAGTGGTTTATTCCTGCCCAGGCTGGCTTTGAATCACGATCCTCAGATCTCAGCCTCGTGAGTAGCTAGGATTACAGGCATGAGCCACTGATGCAGATACCCTGAAACATTACAGGAAGGAATAGGAGAAACTCATAGGGCTCCTTAGCACAGGCTGAAATTTTTCTTTTCTTTTTTTTTATTTTTTTGTCGGTGGTGGGGTCTGAACTCTGGGCCTGGGCACTGTGCCTCAGTGTTTCAGCTCAAGCTAAGCTCTATTACACGAGCCACAGCGCCACTGCTTATGTGGTGCTGAGGAATTGAACCTAGGACCTCATGCTTGCGAGGCAAGCACTCTACCACTGAGCCACCTTCCCAGCTCACATGTGGCTCTTTAAAGACCACAAGGATCACTAGAGCATCAAAAGTTATGGGGTGTGTATTGGGAAAAGGGAGCTAAAGATGTATTTAGTGATAGTGCTTTGCCTAGCATGCATAAGGCCTTAGTTTTGACCCAAGTACCAACAGAAAGAATATATATATATATATATATATATATCTTCTATTATGTATCCATATATGTATATGTATATATGACCGAGAAGGACTTATATCCAGAATCTAAAATTGTCATAGTTTGAACAGATGCTATAGAACACTGTAGAATAGAAGATACCTAAATGCCAAATATACATGATATATAAAATATACATAATATATAAATATATGTAAAATATACATGTTATTAGAATATTTAAAAATCTCATGAAAATAGGGATATAAAGTCAGGCCCCAGTGGCTCACGCCTAGTACTCTGAGATCCGAGGATCCCCGTTCACCAGCCCAGGCAGGAAATTCCATGAGACTCTTACCTCTAATCACCAGAAAACTGGAAATGGCACTGTGGCTCAAAAGGTAGAGCACTAGCTTTGAGCTGAAGAGCTGAGGGACAGTGCCCAGGCCCAGAGTTGAAATCCCACAACTGATAATAAAAAATAAAAAGAATAGGGATATAAAGCTAGATGATTATGGTTCATGCCTATAATCCTAGCTACTCAGGAGGCTGAGAATAGGAGCATCAGGTTTGGTTTGATACAACCACCTTAAAAACTGTCACCACCAGGGGCTGTGAAGGTGGCTCAATGGTAGAGTGCTTGCCTTGCATGCATGAGGCCCTGGGTTCCATTCCTCAGCACCACATAAGCAGAAAAA